CCCCGCTAGCTCCTCCAGTGCCCCTGCCCCCCTTGCCCTTGCCAGGGCGACGTCTCCCGCTAGGGGTAGACGCCGCACCGACCGACTCAAGCCCAACGAGGTCGGCCGCAGCAGCAGAGGCAACAGAGGGCAAAAGGGGGGAGGGGGAACACCCCTCAAAGATGGGGGTGCGAGGGTCACCACGAGAGGCTCCTACAGCGACTATGCTCTTCTCTGCTGCTAGGAGGGACTTCTCGAGGAGGTCAACGGTGAGAGTGGTGGGGCAAACGGAGAGGAAGTGGTCCCTGACTACGCGAAGGGAGTCAGGGAGCCGGGTGACTATGTAGTAGAGGGTGATGTACATGGGGGGGGGGTTCTTGGCGCAGAACTCAGCAGGAAGCGCAGCGCGGTAGCGAGTGTCACTAGTGCGGAGGTGCGTAATGAGGTCAGCGACTGTGGGAAAGGCAGCAAGGTCAGGGAAGAGGTACGGTAGCATGAGGCGGCTCAGTGCAGCAGTGGCAGGGGAGGAGTAGCGCGCAACTACAGCGTCGTACAAGGTCTGAGCACTCTTGTACTGGCTAAAGTGCGCACGCTCAGAGGTAGGCAGGTGGCGACGCACAGCAAGACGTGCAGCAGCATCGCGAGTGGCCCACTGGGAGCGAACAGTGGCGTCGGCATCAGCAGCAGGGGCAGGAGAGGCACCAGAGGTGAGGTCAAAGAGGGAGAGACCGTCTGCCCTATCGCACTGTAGGAAAAGCTGCAGGTCATCTACCCAGACGTCAAAGTCAATGGCCCTACCCTCAGCGTCAAAGGCGAGGACACTAGGGGTAGCCATGACAGCAGTAGACTAGCAGCGCTAACAGTAGGGTGAGGGCAGTGCAGGGACAGAGGCGCTGCACTTACCGGACAGGGCGACTCGGGTGGCTCAGCTGCTCGGCGGCTCGGCAACTCGGCGGCTCGGGCGGCTCGGGCGGCTCGGCGGTACAGCGGCTCGGCAGCAAGCGCGGCTCGGCGACACGGCGGCTCGGGCGGCTCGGGCGGTACGGCGGCTCGGGCGGTACGGCGGCTCGGCAGGCCCGGGCGGCTCAGGTGGCGCGGCGAGGCCGCGTGGGGAGCGGCGGCGGGGCCGAGTGGAGCGGCGTCGGCGGGTGCAGTCAGCTGCGGCAGCAGCCGCTGCCCCGAGGGAGGTGGTGGCGGCTGCTGCTGGCGACGGCTGCGGCTGCTGCGGCAGGGACGGCGGCGGCCGCTGCGGTAGGGGCAGCGACAGTGGGCCGGAGAGGGCGGTGCGAGGGGCCGCGTCGCGAGGAGCCGCGGAGGGCGGCGACGGGCCGTGAAGGGGCGGTGCGAGGGGCCGCGGAGGGCGGCGACGGGCCGTGAAGGGGCGGCGCGAGGGGCCGCGGAGGGCGGCGACGGGCCGTAGGGGGCCGTAAGGGGCCGTTGAGGGCGGTGCGAGGGGCCGACGGGCGGCGCGAGGGGCCGTAAGGGGCCGTAAGGGGCCGCGCGAGGGGCCGTAAGGGGCCGTAAGGGGCCGTAAGGGGCCGCGCGAGGGGCCGTAAGGGGCCGTAAGGGGCCGGAAGGAGCCGCGCGAGGGGCCGCAAGGGGCCGTAAGGGGCCAACGGGCCGCGCTAGGGGCCGTAAGGGGCCGTAAGGGGCCGCGCTAGGGGCCGTAAGGGACGGCGCGAGGGGCCGTAAGGGGCCGCTAAGGGCGACACGAGGGGCCGTGAGGGGTCGTGAGAGGGCGCGACTGTGGGAGCGAAGCGCGCTCCAGGCAGGAAAAAAAAAATTCGTGGTGGGCCCTAGGAAGCGTTCCCACTAGGGAACCTGCTCGATACCATGAGAAGAAACAAGGAATGAATAAACTATGAATGAGTTGGGTACAAGTACTAACCCTAATTGGGTTGTACCACTTATGGGCTACCCCACTATAGCCTACACAATATGCATGAGCTATGATGTTCTGACATAATTGTGTGTGAATGTTGAGTCATGATGTCGAGTGTGTGTGTCGAGTCAATAGCGAGTTATCGCTAGACGCGTGTTACGCGGTCGTTTGTGTCTCGCGCGCGGTTTCTATTTTGTCGTGCGCGGTTTCTATTTTGTCCTGTGTCGAACGTTCGGCGTGTCGCAGGTGTGTGCAGCAGACCCATCAAGAACTCAAGGATGAGTTTGTGATGAAGAGCCCGAGCCTTGGTGTCAAGCCTCAAGTGATTTCGAAGCTTGCCAAAAGGGTACACCTCAAGATATTGAAGATAGTTACATTACTTTGTGTAGTGTAACATTTCACTTGGTGTAGGCCCTAGTGAAGGGTAGTTTCGAGACCCTTCGTGGTTGGGGACAGTGTGGCACTGTTCCACATCACTGTACCTCGGCTCTTGGGGTTTGTAGGAGCTGGGAGTCATTCCCAACTCGTAACTCTTCCTATCTTGTGTTCTAAGACTATAGTGGCTGCCATAGTACCGTTCGTTCAAACCGACGCTGTGTCGTCAATTCTTTATCCAATTGTGCAATCTAAATTGCTAATTGTAGACGACGTGAAGACGCTCCAGATCCAATTTGAATCAAGTCATTTGCAGCTGTGAGCAGAACGCTATCAACGTTTGAAGCCGCTGTGCAGAAATCCGTCTGTGCTCTCTATCTTTCGTTTTAGGCACATTCAAGCCTATTGTGACTATAACAAGTATCCTAGTATAATAGGATGTACCTCTGAAATGTAAGCCATCATATGATCTCTTGTAAAGCTATCTTGCTACTATCTTTCTGGAATTCTCCTACCTACTACTACTACTCTGCCAAATCAGCTTAGTGGCTGTTTCATTTGGTATCCGAGCTATCTTCGATCCTCCTTTTCTTGAAAACAGCGTCATGACGACTAGTAAGGTACCTTCTCGTGATGAATGGGCCAGCTACTTGGAAACGTACCGAGCCCAACTTGTTGCTGAAGTTAGAGAGAGCTTGCAAGCTGAGATGCAAGCTAGTGTAGCTGCAGCTGGAGTGGCGGCAGCAACCTCGAGCCCTGCTGCACCGCCAGACGGAAATCAGCGCGCTAGACCCGCTCTTCCTGATTTTTTCTTTCGCGGGAGAAACCAACCAGTCGTGAGCCGTTGGCTCTTTCTTGTTGAGCAATACCTGCTCCTAAGTCACATAGTTCCTGCCGAGTGGACTGCTTTCACCGGCACCCTTCTTCGTGGATCTGCTATCACCTGGTGGCAATCCGTGCATGCGACCATCCAGTCATGGGATCAATTCAAGCAAGTCTTCACTGCTACCTTTCAACCGGTGAACCCGAACATCCGAGCACGAGACTCCTTGGCTACTCTGAAGCAGCTCAAATCTGTTCAAGAATACGCTTCTCGCTTCCGTGACATCGCTCAAGAGATCCCGGACCTTTCCGATGCTGAACGGATGGATCGCTTCAAGCGCGGGCTGAAAACGAACGTGCGCATGGAGGTCGAGCTGAGGGACTGCTCTACGCTCGAGGAAATGATACGCGTGGCTGAACGGTATGATGCTGTCCATTATGCATACAACAAGCCTCGCTTTCCTCGTAGCCCGTTTCTCCTGTTTGCTCCCTCCTACCAGCCCTCTACTCCAACGGACTCAAATCTGCAAGAACCTGCACCTATGGACCTGGACCTGATGGAGAAGAGGAAGAGGAACCCGAGGCCTATCGTCGTGTGCTACAAGTGCGGCAAGAAAGGACACATCTGGAAGGTCTGCCGCCAACGTACCAATCTGCCCCCGATACTTCCAACACCGGGAAACTCAAGCCGCCAGTAAACTCGGGGCAGCTTTCTGGTGACTATACCTGCCCCACTATCTCTTCTCTTGAAATCCGTAACCCCTCTGAACCCCTTCTCCTTTCTATGCTGATTCGCGGTCAGAAAGTGAAAGCCCTACTTGACAGTGGTGCAAGGTACCGCAAGGCAAGGCAATACAGATGCAGAAGGAAGGATAGCTTACGGTGGTGCTCCGTGCGGAAATCGAGGAAAACCCGCGTTCATTCTCCCCGTCAAATCTCTCATCAGCCGAATTCAGGGTCGCAGGAAGGGGGAAATGCGTGTTTGCAGAATGTGTCATGTGTAAGTGTCTCCTTTAGTATCCAGTGTTTTTAGGTAACATGGATGGTTGTCTAGTTATCTTATTTCACAGCCAAAACAATCCCTTCACAACTTCGAAATGTCAAAGGCATTTATCGTAGCACAATAAAACCAGTAACATTAACGTCTGAACATTGTCTTTATCTCTCCTGAACAGGTTCTCTATAACCATCATTATCGTTTCGCATTTATTCTGTCTGGTTGCATATTGCCTCTTAAAACCCGTGGGTCAAGAAGGCCAAATTTGGTTCATCCTTCCTAGTGTTGGTTGGATGTCCCAAAAACGCCTGTGATTTTCCCGAGTTTATAACAACTCGTCTAGCAACTCCCAACCAACCTTCCTAAGGTTGAATATCTTGGCCTGCGGGTTTTAAGTAACAAGCAAGGTATTTATCCTCCCTGATTTGTGCAAACCTTCTGGGACTGAGAAGTTGTTTGTAAAGGGGTCACACGCATTAAGAAATAACGCCACCTGCCTCGAGAAGCACCTGCAGTGTACTACCTGGTTCAGGTGAGAACTGTGCGCTGGTGAACCATCCTGGCAGGAAAGGCCCCTGCGCTTCGTAGCCCACAGAGGCAGGTGCGGAAAGTGACCTGATACATCCTGAACCAGCTCAAATCTGGGGAAGCCGGAGCGCTTGTTCCATTCAGATTGAATGAACTGTCAGAAAAGTCTCTCCTGAGCCAAACCTGGTTTCAACCTCCCTGCGGCACGACTCGCAACAATCTTCCAACTTCGGAAACCTGGAGTTCAACGGCCGAGCCAACCGACCGCATCCGCGAGGCACAAATAGGAGTGCTCCCATTCTTTCAACCAATAACCTTGGTCAAGGAGAGGAGCGGCTCTGTATTTATCTTCTGATTAAACGTCTAAATTAACCCGAAAGTTGCTCGCGAGTTTGATTCTTAGACGAAGTTATCATAATGGCGCGCCTACTGTTCGTCGTGTCGTTCGCCGTCCTGCTGGCGGTGGCGTCCGCAGGACAATCCGTCGTGACGGGACCCAGCAACCCCGCGGTCAACCTGGACAATGCCAAGGGCGCGAATGGCGTGGCTACGGAGGTCCCTCCTGGCATCGAGAAGGCGGCGGCCGCCGGCGGGCTTGACAAGTTTGAGGGCATGACCATCGTGAGCCCGAGCACGGACAGTGTGCTGATGGTGGACGTGAAAGTGGCCGGATGGAACAAAATGAAGTGCCACAAGGACCTGGGCAAGCCCGGGGACGGCGCGTGCACGCCCGCCAACTGCAGCAAGGGCGGCATCGCCGCCAAGTGGAAGACATCGAACCTGCTCAAGAACAAGCTGGGTGTGGAGGTGTACGTGAAGGGCAACCCTCTCACGCTCAAGAAGGCGTCCCCGCAGACGTGCTGCAACACGTGCGCGGGATACGCTGGCTGCACGTACTGGCAGTACATCCCCGACATCACGATCGACGGCAAGAAGACGGAGGGCGCGTGCTACCTGGTGCACGACAACATCGACTACTCGTGCGGCGAGCTGACGGCGCAGTACGCGACGGACTCGAAGCCGGTTCATCTGCAGGTGCGCACGGGCGGCGAGTGCAACCCCGCGGGACACATCAAGGACGACCCGCATCTGGTGGGCGCGTACGGCACGCACTTCGACTTCAACGGGCGCCCCGACAAGGCGTTCTGCCTGCTGACGGACAAGGACCTGCACGTGAACATGCTGCTGCGCGGGTACTACTCGGACGACACGGAGAATGCGGCTCTCGTTGTGGACGGCAAGGCCGTGCACACGTGGATCAAGGAGCTGGGCATCGTGTGGTTCGCCAACGGCGCCGACCACAAGGTGCGGCTCGCGGCGCGCTCTGGCAAGAAGCAGGAGCGCGGTGATGGGTTCATGAAGACGATCGAGATCGACGGCGAGGAGATCCCGAGGATGAGCGTGGGTGACGAGGTGACTACCGAGGGCGGTCTGACTCTGCGATTCGCGGCTCTGGAGAAGGAGGGCCCGTATGACGTGGACTACTACACGCTCGTCATCGACGGGCTTGTGACGCTCGACCTGCGTCTGCGTGTCGCCAACCCCAAGCTGCAGACGCCCACCGAGGCCGAGGCGCACATTAATGTCGGGATCGTTGAGATGGAGCACACCGACGACGTGCACGGCGTGCTCGGCCAGACGTACCGCCCCGACCACGCTGCGCGCGCCGCCGACTTCCAGAAGATGATCGCGACCCTGCACCGTCCGATCTCAGCAGAAAGCACCGAGGGTGCTGGGTTCCTGGACGGCACTCCCCGTATGTACGAGTCGAGCTCCGTGCTATCCGTGGACTGCGCGTACACCGAGTACCACCGCGCCAAGCAGTTAAGCCCCGTCGAGAACTTCCCCATGGAGCCTCTCAACTAAATTCGCGATCTTTCGCTAGTTCGTATGTGATGGTAACGGACGTACTCCGTCGTTCCCTTGGTGGGCTGCGATTCGGTGGGCTGTGAATTGGTGGGCTGCTAATGTATTGTATAGTAGGTTTATTTTCCAAATATGTACGATTCGTTCGATATATTTCATTACCTTCCGTTCATCACCCTGGTCTGGAAGCTCTATAACTACCCGAGGCTACCTCCGCTAACGGGCATCTTTTTCGTCCTTGCTGCTATTGCTGGCCTAACTGGCTTTTGGTTTCGCGCTGAGAACGCGAAGTTGCGACTGGGATCAATGAATTCAGCGTCGTTCCAACTGACCTGGTAAAGTAGTGAAATATTACGAATCAAACTCGTGCTGCTCTGTCGACATGAATTGCTGGTGTACTTGGGAGTAGGCCAGAAGTTGGGCATCGACATGATCTGGTACTCGCATGCTGCGAGTAGCCGTAGCCGCTGCAGTGTCAGCGTCAGCATCAGCATCCACGCCATTCGTCGTGGTCGCGCGTCCGTCAATTCTCCGCATCGCCTCTTCCACAATGTTAAGCCACACCGCCATTCCAGCTTCTTCCCTCACCCTAGCTCTCGGCCAGTCCACCCCGCTTCTCCCCTCCACCGCTCTTCACGATTTTGCCATGCACTTGGTATCGTCGCATGTTTCTAGAACATTTATCGGCGTGGCCTCCAGCACACGCAGTAGTCCATCCTCCGGTGCCTTTTCTATTCCAAATGGACGTCGCTCCGGAAGGCTAACCAGAACTCCGTCCGTCTCTTTCGCCGCTTCACCCGCCGCGTTTTCCGGTAGCGAATCTCGCCGTCGATTCCTCACCTGCTCTGCGCGCGCACGGAAAATCGGCGCTGAGGAAGTTTCCGCCGAACGCTCTTCTCCTTCCGCCGACGCAAAAACAGCTGCAGACGGGGAGAATGTAGCTGAGAATACGGCGGCGGGGGATACGGAGAAGAAGGCGGAGGATGCAGGGAAGAAGGCGGAGGATGCGGGGAAGAAGGCGCAGAAGCGGGGGAAGGAGCTGGAGAAACGCTTGCGCCGGTTGCGGGAAGTAATGGCGGAAGTGGATGGGGGGAAGGGCGTCGACGCCTTTATCATCCCGTCGGAAGACCCGCACCAGGTTACTTTCCCGTAACCTGCGCATTCTAGGCTCCGAACAGAATTCGCCTCGTTGCTCGATATAAGCATGCTACTCTCGGCCCTTTTGTTATGGCCTTGTGCCATCTACACCAGCGCCATCACCAGGCGCGGCGGTGGTAACCAGAGAGCGGTACTGTCACATTCTTTCTTACCTCCCCCCTCCTCCCCCCCCTGCTTACCAGAGCGAGTACATGGCGCCGTGCTTCGAGCGCCGCGCGTTCATCTCGGGCTTCACGGGCTCCGCGGGCACGGCGGTGGTCACGCGCGAGCGCGCGCTGCTGTGGACGGACGGGCGCTACTTCCTGCAGGCGGAGCAGCAGCTTCCGCCGGGCTGGGACCTCATGCGCGCGGGCATGCCCGGCGTGCCCTCCGTCGCGGACTGGCTGGCGGAAGCTCTCCCCGCGGGCAGCCGAGTGGGGGTGGACCCGGTAAGTGGAATGGAGGATGGGAAAAAGGGGCGAGTGGGGGTGGACCCGGTAAACAACATGGAGGATGGGAAATAGGGGGCGGTGGCTTGGGGTAGGAGGCTGGCGGAAGCGCTCCCCACGGACAGCAGAGCGGGCGTTGATCCGGTATTCACAGGGGGAAGGGCTTGGGGAAAGGGGGGTGGCAATGGCAATGACGGGGGTTAGAGTCGGTACTGATAAAGGGGGGGTGGCTTGCGTGCCCTATGCCGCGGGCTGGCTGGCAGAAGCTGTGCGCCCGGGCAGCAGAGTGTGGAGCGAGGGGAGGCTGAATAAGGGGGGCGGGGGAAGAGATGTGGCACAGATGGAGATAGATTCGGTAGCGATGGGGCGATGGGGCGATGCCTGGAACGCGTCCTGTGGCTTTTGAGAATTCTCCAAAGTCACTCGAATATAGGGCGGGGGAAGAGAGGTGGCACAGATGGAGATAGAGTCGGTAGCGATGGGGCGATGCCCGGAACGCGTCCTGTGGCGGAGTGGCTGGCGCAAGCCGAGAATGTGAGGGGTTTAGCAGACACTCTAACAGCATTTGAGTCTAGTATCCCTCCCCCCCTTTCTCTCACTTCACCCTCCACCATCCCGCCGCCCCCAGTTTGTGCACTCGGCAGACAAAGTGAGGGGCCTGGCGGACACGCTTGCAGCGTGCGTATGTGTTCATCCTTCCCCCTCTTCTTTCCCTCCCCCCTCCCTCTTTCGCCTTCAGTTTGTGCATTCGGCTGAAAACGTGAGGGGCCTGGCGGACACGCTGGCAGCGTCGTCGTCCGTGGTGGTGCCGCTGCTGCGCGAGAGCAACCCCGTTGACGTGGTTTGGGGCGCGGAGGTCAGTGGGTAGAGGGGGAGGGCCAGTGGGGGCCGCAGAGGTGGGTGTGCTGGGGGGGGCGGGGGGAGTGTGAGGGGTCGATCATCCCGCTGCTGCGCTAGAGCGACCCTGTTGACGTCGTGTGGGGGGCGGAGGTGCGTATGTACTGGGTGGGAAAGCCAGGGGAAGGTGGTGTGGGGGGGGGTACGGGGTCAATTGATATCACTGCTGCGCACAGCAGAAGCAACCCTGCTTTTTCAGACGTCTGTACTCCCTTTCGCCCCCCCTGTGCTTCCCATCAGCGCCCCCCGCCCCCATCAGCGCCCATGAGGGTGCACCCGATCGAGTTCGCGGGGCAGACGGTGAGGGCGAAGCTGCAGCAGCTGCGGGCGGAGATGAGAGACGCCGGTGACACGGCGCTGCTGGTGTCGGCTCTGGATGAAGTCGCATGGCTGCTCAACGTGGTGAGTGACTGAGTCTTGATTCTTGAGTCCTCGGAACGGGCGATGTGGTGAATCCTGAGTACGTGGTGAGTGCTGCACTGGTCTATATGACGTATGGCTGCAGCAGCTGCAGGCGGAGATGAGAGACGCTGGCGCCACGGTGCTGCTGGCGTTGGCTCTGGATGAGGTCTCATGGCTGCTCAACGTGGTGCGTTTTGAGTCTTGAGTGTGGTGAGAGTTGTACTGGTTTAGCTTGGGTGTGACGAGTCGATTTTTGAGTCGACTCATCACACCCAAGCTAAATCGACTCATCACATGAGGTCAAAGCCCCCATCAGCCCTCGTGGCAAGGCGCATAAACCCAGCCGCCGCCGCTGCTGCTGCTGCCGCTGCTGCTTTACGCCTGTCTCCTGTACCACTCGCCTTCCACTTTCTCAAAGCCTCCATCAGCCCCCCAAGAGGCAGTGATCCGCTTCACCTCCCCTGCACCCACACCCCCCTCGCCCACCTCCCCCACCACCCACGACACCGACAGCACAAACGGCCTCCCTGCCACACGGGGCTCGCCTGTGGCTGGACCCTTCCTCCGCCTCCTCTGCGGTCCTCTGCTCTGTTGAAGCCGCCTGCGCTCAGTACTACGAACAGAGAGCGTCAGGGAAGGGAGGGTTTGGGGGAAAGAAGGGGAAGAAGGGCGAGAAGGGGGAGAAAAAGAGCAAGGAGGGGAAGGGAGGGAAGGGGAAGGAGGAGCGAGGGGGAGCAGGCGGGGAGGAAGTGGAAGGGCCGGCAGTGCTCAGCCGAACCACCCCCATCTCTCTGGCCAAGGCGCTGAAGAACGAGTCTGAGATTGAGGGGATGAAGAACGCGCACATTAGGTGAGTGGGGTCTTCTACTTGACTCGAAAAAGGGGAGGGGTTGGATAGAGTTTTTGAGACGTCTCAAGCATTTACTCTTATCAGGTGAGTGGGGTCTTCTACTTGACTCAAAGAAGGGAAGGGGGTGGATAGGGGGGCAGTGGTGGCAGTGGAAGGGCCGGCAGTGCTGAGTCGCACCACGCCTATCTCTCCGGCCAAAGCGCTGAAGAATGAATCGGAGATTGAGGGGATGAAGAACGCCCATATCAGATGAGTGAAACTTAAAAACCGGAAGGCATTGGAGGAGGGGAGCGAATGAATGAAGGCCCTGAAGGCCCTCAAGTGCTGAGCCTAACCACGCCAATCTGAGATCGAAAGGATGAAGGGCCAGCACTGGAAGGGTTCGGTAGTGCTGCGTGTGACCACCCCAGTGCAAGCCTGGGCGAGAGGATGAGAGTTGGGGAAGAAGGGGATGCAGGCACAAGGGGGGAGAGAAGGTTCGGAGAGTGTTGCCGTGATGCCTGGTTCACGGGCACCAAGCATCCCGTGTTGCCGTGATGCCTGGTTCACGGGCACCAAGCATCCCGTGTTGCCGTGATGCCTGGTTCACGCTTCCGTTCTCCATTTTTCCCTTTTCAACGGTATCCCTTCCTCTGCACCTGTTCCCCTGGGGACGCGGTGGCAATGGCATGTTTCTGGGAGTGGGTGGAGCGGATGCTGGGCCCCTAAAGACCAACTGTGGGTGGAGCGGATGCTGGGCCCCTAAAGACCAACTGTGGGTGGAGCGGATGCTGGGCCCCTAAAGACCAACTGTGGGTGGAGCGGATGCTGGGCCCCTAAAGACCAACTGTGGGTGGAGCGGATGCTGGGCCCCTAAAGACCAACTGTGGGTGGAGCGGATGCTGGGCCCCTAAAGACCAACTGTGGGTGGAGCGGATGCTGGGCCCCTAAAGACCAACTGTGGGTGGAGCGGATGCTGGGCTCCTAAAGACCAACTGTGGGTGGAGCGGATGCTGGGCCCCTAAAGACCAACTGTGGGTGGAGCGGATGCTGGGCCCCTAAAGACCAACTGTGGGTGGAGCGGATGCTGGGCCCCTAAAGACCAACTGTGGGTGGAGCGGATGCTGGGCCCCTAAAGACCAACTGTGGGTGGAGCGGATGCTGGGCCCCTAAAGACCAACTGTGGGTGGAGCGGATGCTGGGCCCCTAAAGACCAACTGTGGGTGGAGCGGATGCTGGGCCCCTAAAGACCAACTGTGGGTGGAGCGGATGCTGGGCCCCTAAAGACCAACTGTGGGTGGAGCGGATGCTGGGCCCCTAAAGACCAACTGTGGGTGGAGCGGATGCTGGGCCCCTAAAGACCATTTTCAAATCGGTCGTTCCGCTTTCGTTTCTCCCATTCTCCCTTTTCAACTGTATCCCTTCCTCTGCAACCGTTCCCCCAGGGATGCGGTGGCAATGGCGCATTTCTGGGAGTGGGCGGAGAGGGCGGTGGTGGAGGAGGGGAGGGCGGTGACAGAGGTGGAGCTGGGGGAGAGGCTCGAGGCGTTCCGCGCACAGCAGGAGGGGTTCCTCGATACCAGCTTTGATACCATTGCAGGTGGGGTGGGGTGTCAGTTGGATAGTGCCCTTTGGGGCACAGAAAGGGCACTAAAGGGGTGCCCCCTTTGCGTCGCGCAGCCTTTCTGTCGCGGTGTTGCTGTGCTCATAGCAATGCTGGTTCCAAGCATTTCATGCGACGCAGATGCTCTGACAAGCCTATGAGATCCCTCTCGTTCATTTTTTCCGAGCCTGGCGTGCAGGTTCGGGCAAGAACGGGACGATCATTCACTACCGAGCCGAGGAGGACAACTGTGCGGTGGTGGATCCTTCCAGGATGCTTCTGCTGGACAGCGGAGCACAGTATGTGGACGGCACAACAGACATCACGCGCACTGTTCACTTCGGGACGCCCTCCGACTATGAGAAGGAGTGCTACACACACACGCGTGCTGCAGGTGAGGGGTGCTGTGAGGTGAGGAGGAGTGCTGTCAGGTGGTAAGTTAGGTGTGTTTTTAGTCGAATAACATGGCACAACAGACATCACGCGCACTGTTTACTTCAAGACTCCCTCCGACTATTAAAAGGAGTGCTACACACGCGTGCTGCGGGTGAGGAAAGAGTGCTGTCGGGTGGTAAGGAGTGCTGTCAGGTGAGAATGAGTGCTGCCCGGTTTTGCCCTGGACATTCTAGTCCGGAGGCCACTGCGGGGCATGGGGCTGGGCTATTGTTATGGCATGGCTGGTTAGCAAGGCCCCCTCCTCCCCTCCCCTCCTTCTCCCCCTCTGCTCTCCCGCCAGGGCCACATAGCGCTAGATCGAGCTGTGTTCCCCCAGGGCACGCCCGGGTTCGCGTTAGACATTCTCGCCCGAAGCCACCTGTGAGGTGTATTTTGAGGCGCCTCAAAATACGCTCGAAATCCTAGCCCGAAGCCCCCTGTGGGGCATGGGGCTGGACTATCGGCACGGGGCACGGCGTGGGCGCTGGGCTGAATGTGCACGAGGGGCCAAAGAGAACAGAGCAACAGAGTAGTAGCCGTAAACCCCTCTCCTTTCCTGCCGCCCCCCTCCCCCCATTCCCGTCTCTCCCCCCAGGGCCATATCGCGCTAGATTGTGCGGTGTTCCCCCAGGGCACGCCCGGATTTTCCCTGGACATTCTGGCCCGCAAGGCATTGTGGGGCATGGGGCTGGACTGCCTTCACGGCACGGGGCATGGCGTGGGCGCTGGGCTGAACGTGCTCGAGGGGCCGCAGAGCACAGAGCAGCAGAGCAGCAGAGAATCAGAGCAGCAGTTTGGCAGCCACAACCCCTCTCCTCCCCTGCCCTCCCCCTCCCTTTTTTTTCCTGTCCCCCCAGGGCCACATAGCACTAGATTGTGCTGTGTTCCCCCAGGGCACGCCCGGGTTCGTTCTCGTCATTCTGGCCCGAAAGGCACTGTGGTCCATGGGCTTGGACTACCGGCACTGTGGTCCATGGGCTTGGACTACCGGCACTGTGGTCCATGGGCTTGGACTACCGGCACTGTGGTCCATGGGCTTGGACTACCGGCACTGTGGTCCATGGGCTTGGACTACCGGCACTGTGGTCCATGGGCTTGGACTACCGGCACTGTGGTCCATGGGCTTGGACTACCGGCACTGTGGTCCATGGGCTTGGACTACCGGCACTGTGGTCCATGGGCTTGGACTACCGGCACTGTGGTCCATGGGCTTGGACTACCGGCACTGTGGTCCATGGGCTTGGACTACCGGCACTGTGGTCCATGGGCTTGGACTACCGGCACTGTGGTCCATGGGCTTGGACTACCGGCACTGTGGTCCATGGGCTTGGACTACCGGCACTGTGGTCCATGGGCTTGGACTACCGGCACTGTGGTCCATGGGCTTGGACTACCGGCACTGTGGTCCATGGGCTTGGACTACCGGCACTGTGGTCCATGGGCTTGGACTACCGGCACTGTGGTCCATGGGCTTGGACTACCGGCACTGTGGTCCATGGGCTTGGACTACCGGCACTGTGGTCCATGGGCTTGGACTACCGGCACTGTGGTCCATGGGCTTGGACTACCGGCACGGCACGGGGCACGGCGTGGGCGCGGGGCTGAACGTGCACGAGGGGCCGCAGAGCATCAGCCCGCGCTTTGGCAACCCGACTCCTCTGCAGGCCGGCATGGTTGTTAGCAACGAGCCGGGGTTCTACCACGATAACCAGTTCGGGATCAGAATCGAGGTGAGGGGGAAGAGGGGGTGGGAGGGTCAGGGCATGGAATGGTGAGGGTCCATGTGAGGAGCGGGCGTGTGGGTATGTGGTACTGGCTGGTTGGCAGGCAGGCTCGCATGGTCCTGATGGCCCTCAGCATCACACATGCACACACACTCTCCCCCCCCTTGCCCCACCTTCCCTCTCTACCACACGTCCCACTTTCTTATTTTCCTTCCGCCCCGCCCTGTCTCGCCACCTTCCCAGAACCTTCTTGTGGTGAGGGAGCAGCAGACGCGGTGTCGATTTGGTGGCACAACGTATCTGGGATTTGAGTGCCTCACGCTCTTTCCAATTCAGGTACTTCTCTCTCCTGTCTTACTAGTTGAGGTTTGATTGCTCAGAGCAGAGGCTCTTCCCTTCTCATTTCAACCATCTCCATATGGCGCATTTGGGCGCGGTGCATTTGACTTCGGTGCAGTCGAGTGCGGTGCATTTGAGTGGTGATGAGGTTTAGAGGATCTTAGTCACCTCACAAGATGTGAGAAGTCTCAAAACTCAAAGATGATGCGCTCTGAACAGTCTTAGCAGCCAGGTTACACTTCACATACTCCCTTCATTCCTCCAATCTCATTCCTCCCCCTTCCCCTGGCCTCAGACAAAGCCAGTGAGTGTGATTTTTTAAACGTCTCAAATGTCATGCTCCCTTCATTTCTCCCCCTTCCCACGCCCGCAGACGAAGCTAGTGAGTGTGGAGCTATTGAGCGATGCAGAGGTGAAGTGGATCAACGACTATCACCAGCGCGTCTGGGACACTGTGAGTGTGGGGTGCTGGAAATGTGGGATGCTGGGAGTGTGGGGTGCTGGGAGTGTGGGGTGCTGTGCGTGTGGGTGGGACACCGAGTGTGGAACACTGCGTAGTGTGACACACTGTGAGTGTGGAACACTGAGTGTGGGTGGGGCTCTGAGTGGGAGGGAGGTGAGCGCACATGAGCTTGAATCACCTCGCCCAACCAAGCAGTATGCATCTACCTCTGCCGTCAGAAGCTCCCGTGCACTGCTGTGGTGGACAGGCGGCTCACCTCACCTCACCTCATCACCTGCACCTCTTCCCTTGGCCCCATCGACTCCAGGTCTCCCCTCTGCTGTCCGGAGCACCCCTGCAGTGGTTACAGCGTAACACTCAGCCCATCTCTCAAAACCAGGCCCCACAGAAACCTGCAGCGGCTAGAGGGGCAAAAGCAGGAGCCAGAGGAGGAGCTAAGGCAGCAGCCAAGGCTGCTGCAGCCAGCTAACTGTAGCCCTTAGGTGTAGGTTATTCTTGCACACAATGGTGTACAAGAAATGCCCGTGTTGTTCCAGCTACCAGAACTTTAAGAAGTCTCAGTACCACTTCAAGCTCAAATGCAGTTGCTCTTGTGAATTCAAGCTGTAAACCAGTGATTTTTCGCTGATTTCCGGGGTGGGGCCCCGACCACAGCATCCCATCCATCCAGCCACACCTTGTGGTTGGCGCCCCTGGCTCCTTGACCAGCAACAAGGCTCGCAGCTGCTGCAGCAATTGGAGTACAAACATTCCGACATGTCTGATACCGGTAAGCTGGGAAGAGAATTCACAGCAAAGGAGCTTCAGCATATGAGGGCACGGTAGGAATGGACTGTGGTGCCCAGCAGTAGCATCTGTAGGAGAAATGGGAGAGATTTTTGTCCAGCGCCTTCCTGCCAGACACAAGTCACCAATACTCTCTTTGCTGGACAAGAGATTGGTGAAAGTAGAAGGGTAACAGAGGTGCCAACGAAATATAATTAAGCACCTAAGAATTTCATAATATATTAATGGACAGGAGTATCGATTTCGATACCTAACATTCAAGGGATGCTCTATAAAATCAGCCCACCAAGGTAACTAAGGAGGTAACTAGGATCCAATCTAGTTGAGGGGCTCCCTGGGGAACTCCTCGACGAGGCTCAGCCTACCAAATCAAAGCCCACCGATTTTCCGAGAGGGTGCGCGCGTCTAGTTGAGGGGCTCCATGGGGAAGTCCTCGACGGGGCTGAGCTGCTTGGCGCGGTGGTACTCGGTTTGCGTGCAGTCCACGGACAGCACGGAGCTCGACTCGTACAGCTGGGGAGTGCCGTCCAGGAACCCAGCGCCCTCCTGGCTGTCGGCCGAGATGGGACGGTGCAGGTTCGCGATCAGGCGCTGGAAGTCGGCGGCGCGAGCAGCGTGGTCGGGGCGGTACGTCTGGCCTAGCACGCCGTGCACGTCGTCGGTGTGCTCCATCTCCACAATCCCCATGTTGATGTGCGCCTTGGCCTCGCTGGGCGTCTGCAGCTTGGGGTTGGCCACGCGCAGGCGCAGGTCGAGCGCCACGAGACCGTCGATGGTGAGCGTGTAGTAGTCCACGTCATACAGGCCCTCCTTCTCCAGCGCCACGAACCGCACAGTCAGACCGCCCTCCGTCGTCACCTCGTTGCCAACGCTCATCCTCGGGATCTCCTCGCCGTCGATCTCAATCGTCTTCATGAAGCCATCGCTGCGCTCCTGCTGCTTGCCAGAGCGCGCCGCCAGCCGCACCTTGTGGTCGGCGCCGTTGGCGAACCACACGATGCCCAGCTCCTTGATCCACGTGTGCACGGCCTTGCCGTCCACAACGAGCGCCGCGTTCTCCGTGTCGTCCGAGTAGTACCCGCGCAGCAGCATGTTCACGTGCAGGTCCTTGTCCGTCAACAGGCAAAACGCCTTGTCGGGGCGCCCGTTGAAGTTGAAGTGCGTGCCGTACACGCCCACCAGATGCGGGTCGTTCACCACGTTCGCCGCGGGGTTGCACTCGCCGCCCGTGCGCACCTGCAGATGAACCGGCTTCGAGTCCGTCGCGTACTGCGCCGTCAGCTCGCCGCACGAGTAGTCAATGTTGTCGTGCACCAGGTAGCACGCGCCCTCCGTCTTCTTGCCGTCGATCGTGATGTCGGGGATGTACTGCCAGTTTGTGCAGCTGCTGTACCCCGTGCACGTGTTGCAGCACGTCTGCGGGGACGCCTTCTTCAGCGTCAGCGGGTTGCCCTTCACGTACACCTCCACGCCCAGCTTGTTCTTGAGCAGGTTCGACGTCTTCCACTTGGCGGCGATGCCGCCCTTGCTGCAGTTGGCGGGCGTGCACGCGCCCTCCCCGGGCTTGCCCAGGTCCTTGTGGCACTTCATTTTGTTCCATCCGGCAACCTTCACGTCCACCATCAGCATGCTGTCCGTGCTCGGGCTCATGATCGTCGTGCCCTCGAACTTGTCCAGGTTGCCCACAGCCGCCGCCTTCTCGATGCCAGAAGGGACCTCCGTCGCCACGCCATTGGCGCCCTTGGCCTTGTCAAGGTTGACCACCGGGTTGTTGGGTCCGGTCACGACGGTTTGTCCTGCGGAGGCCACCGCCAGCAGGACGGCAAAAGTTGCGACGAAAAGAAGGCGCGCCATGAGGAACGTTGTGCGTCTTATCGGTGAATCTGTTCTAAAGGGTTTTAACTGTACAGAAATAGACTCCAGAAGATGCGCCTCACACTACAATTTTCGATGCCTTGTAACTGAATGATTTCACCATCCCTATTGTACCCCCACCGATTTGCCTTCTCGTTATGGATTTGGCAGGATAGCTCGCGTGTCGGAAGCTACGTGTACAGTGCAGCACTGTGTTGGAATTGTTGCGTGTCGCAGCAAGGTCTTGGTTCTACTCCAAAGCTCGAGTCGCGAGTCCCAGGTTCGATTCAGGAGAAACAAATCCGACCTGGAAAAGTATCGACCAGTGCTCGAATCTCGCTGCTTTTGCAGTTCAGGTCACTTCGCATTCATCTCAAGGTAGGTTTGGAAGCGCAGGTTTCTGCTTTTTGCAGACAGGGAACTCTTCGGTTTGTTGCCCTGAAATCTGCCCTGACCTGTCAGGTAGACAAGAAAGTTCGAAGTTCTTCAAGGCGAACGGAAGAAGCCTGATCCCGTCAAGTTATAACTGTTGCGGTGCGATACAGCGTCGACTGCTGAGTGAGGCTAGTTTATTGGTATTTATTTCCGTATTAGATGAAGGCTACAAGGAATACAATTGCAAGAAAACGCGAAGTGTGTTAAGCACCTAAAAGACAGGTTGGGTTGCAAGGGAAAGGGCAGTCGACTATCTTAGTTACTTTCCGGTCGAAATACCAATCTCCAATAGCTTCTGCCATTGTCTGAACACATCAGGTGCAAAGCGCAAATTGGGACATAAAACACATTCATTCTCTTCCACATAACCAGACATGCACCAATCAAATGCGCAATCAAGAACAAAGGTTTATGCATGCAGCACAACAGTACACAATAATTTGACTCACCTTGCCTGCAACACGAGGAGCCACAGCCCCGTGCCATGCTGGCGATGCCAGTGCCTGGTGCGAAGGAAGAAAGGGGAAAGAGTGAGCAAGGTAGTGAGAGAAAGGGAGAGATAGAGAGGGAGCACGAAGTGGTTTACGAGCCGTGCCAGTACCACTCACCATGTAGTACCACTCACCATGTAGTACCACCTCAACAAATAACAACATTTGACACACCCCCATAGGCTAAGTGAGGGGCATCAAAGCAAGCATGCCAACAACGGTCACAAGACCAGTCAAAACAAGCAACAAGGCAAAGCTCAGGGTGGATCACGACGTCACCACGCAGTCTAAGCACAAGCAACGGCCACAAGGCCAGTTCAAGAGGTTACATAAAATATATAGGTGCAAGTACAAGCAGAGCAAGGCTACGACAGACGAGCAACAGAATCAACAAGCCCTAACTGCACACAGAACCGGTGGTGATCACCAGGCGCCAAGGCCTTGGTGAAGAGGTCTGCAGTGTTGGCCTCCGAGGCCACAAAGTCCAGGCGCACCTGGCCACGACGCTGCAGCTCGCGCAGGAGGAAGTACCGAACGTCAACCAGCGAAGCTCCTGAGCAGCCATAGCACCGGCGTAGATCTCTGCCTCTGCGCTGGACATAGTCACAAACGACGACCGAGTGGACCTCCACGACACAGGCCCAGCTCCTAGACTGAAACAGTAACCCTGGGTCGAGCACTGAGTCTCCACGTCGTCAGCGTAAGAAGAGTCATAGAGGCCAGTCAACTCAACTGGCTGAGTCCCTCCATGCATAAGCCCCATGCCTGATGTAGTCGCCAGGTACTTCGCCACCCTAACGGTAGCCGTCCAGTGAACAAGACGGTGCCTCCCAGGTCCAACAAAGCGAGAGAGGACACTAAGAGGATAGGCGAGGTCTGGGCGAGTACAGGTCATCAGGTACATGAGGCAGCCAACAAGCTCTGGGTAGGGACCACTGGGCTCAAAGGGCTCATCGGGGAAGGGGCCGGTGAGTCTGTGGTTTACCGCAAGAGGAGTGGGCTATGTGGTGGAGTGCTGAAGCCCGAACCGCTGAAGGACCTGCTGCACCATGTGTGACTTCGTCAACGTGATGGTGCGAGCGACTCTGTCTCTGGTGATCTGCAGACCAAGGTAGCGCTGCAGTTCACCAAGGTCAGTGCACGTGTGCCTCTTTTGCAGTTCTGACTTCACCTCAGCCAGAGCTGCCTTGTCTGGTGTAGCAAAGACCAAGTCATTGACGTAGACAAGCATAAAGAAAGGAGTGGAGCTGGCACGAACAAATAGTGACGGGTCAGCAGAGGAAGGGCGAAACCTTAGGTCACGAAGCGTGGAGCGAAGAGTGTCGTGCCACTCATGGGGCGACTGGTCGCCTCAGGCTCCACTGGGTCCCAGGAGGGAAAGTACCAGTGAAACCGGGAGGACGGAGCAGCCAGAACTCCTCGTGTAGTCGTCCCTAAAGAAAGGCAGTGGAGAAGTCGAGGGAGTGGAGCTCGTAGTCACGCTGTGCTGCTACGTGAAGTAACACCCGAAGTGTAGTCATCTTCGGGGTCGGAGCGAAGGTCTGAAAGAAGTCAACTCCCTTGCGCTGACTAAAGCCTTTTGCCACATAGCGCGCCTTGAACACCGGGGGTGATCCAGGCGGCCGCTTCACCTTGAAGAGCCACATGCCATCGACTACGCTCACCCGGGGAGGGGGAACTGCGTCGACGTACGTGCCTGTGGATCTCCAAGATGCCAACTCTGAGTCCATGGCCGCCTTCCACTTAGAGGCCCACGGCCCTGACACTGCCTCACCGTACGTGCGAGGAGTCGGTATGTCAAGGGCGTTGGGGTCTCCCTCAGGGGAAAGCAGCATGGCATAGAGAGTGGGAGAAGCGGCTGCCAGGTACTCCAGCTCAGAGTGCTTGTCCTCTAGGACGTCAC